GGAATTTCTTATAAGCGTGATGGTTCTTGTAAACTGAGGCAGGTCGGCCCGTGTGACTAGGAACCATGTGCTCGGTCGACCCGAACGCGTATCAACGAATACCGTTAGTCGACGACACTATCATAAGTCGAGTCACATTTTCTGATCGAATTTATACCTTAACTTGAAAATATCGTAAGTCGGAGCAATTGTAAGTCGAGGTGTCACTGTACTTACTAGTCACCTAGTGAAGGGAACCTTAGGCACATGCAGCCCGAGTACTGGAGAAATTATTCCTAGCTCGCACACCACCATATCTTGAGGTTATCTTGAGATGATTTCGGGGCTTAGCGTCCCCGTGGCCCAGTCATTGACCAGGCTTCCTTTTTGTTACACACTACCAGGAAGCAGCCCATTGCAGCTGTCTAACTCCCAGGAACCTATTTACTGCTAGGTAACAGGGGCATCAGGGTGAAAGAAACTTTCTGCCCATTTGTCTCCACCTCCACCAGGGTTCAAACCCGGAACCTCATGACTAAGAATCCGAAGTGCTGTCTACTCAGCTGTCAGGCACCATACAGACAGCACCACACCGCAAGGTACAGAACTGGAAAATTCCAGAGCCAGAGCCACATATCTTTGCCAGTTCCACATCAGCAACAGAACTGCAGGGTGGATAGCCGGCACAGGGGTCTGGGGCTCCAACTTTCCCCTTCTGGGGAAGGAAGGGGGGGAAGAGGGTTGCACAGACAGTGGCGCGGTGATGTGGTGACGTCATGCTCATTTGCTCGTTTTTATTTGGGGAGTTCTGTCCACTAATTTGGCTTTCAGTAGCAATATTTTAACCAGAATAGGGGGTTTGTTTTGGGGCGCTTACCTTTCTGGGTGCCTAACCCGGTCAACGGCAGACATAGAATGCTACAACCACACGAGGGTTTCTATAGGCCATTGCTCCTTGTGCCTCTCTGAGGGGGTCCAGGTTCTGGCTCGTGGTCTGTGGTAGGCCTAGAACTCCATGCACATTGACAGATTCCAGGGTCTAATACATTCATATCAGCTCCAAGGAGCCACATGGGCTCCCCACTTCCCCCCCCCCCCTCATCCAGAAAGAAAGGGCAGTCTGCAAGCCAGGAAATCGCTGGAATCTCATAACGCACCCAATACAGAAAAGAAAACCCAAACATAAAAGAGATCAGGTCCATCACCAAGGAAAAATCCAGGTCTCGCAGGAGGTAGGCACCGAGGACCTCTCGAACTTCCACAGGGGAAATCCTAGAGGTGGAAAACCTCCGAAGTGACAAAGTCGCGGAATCCAAGAGAGCCTGGAAACATACCCGTGGGGAAGCCAAACTCTCATCAAATTCGTTCAAGGAAGGTGGATATGAAAACTCTGAATCTTGTAACAGCAGACCCCACCTCAAAAGCACCATGGGCCCAGGCAGGATCAAAAGGAGTCCAAGTGCCGAAGGCTGACTTACAGTAGCCTTCAAACCAGGTTCCAGGGCAGAACTGTCCTCAATGCTCTCCGCCCTTGAAGAAAAGGCAGAGTCCAAGGGAAAGGCATCATAGAAGGGAGCTCACTGGAAGAACCCAGAGGCCTCAGCGGGAGAAACAGGCTCAAATGCGACTGTCCCCACATCGAATGGAGCATCTCCCGGAGCCACCCGAGTCACATCTCCAGCTAAACCCTGCCACGACTCCAAAACCCTCAGACGTTTGGGAGCCGGCAGCAGAGAGTAAGAGGAGGAGGAGGAGGAGGGTGAACCACAACAACAAGGGGAGGATGAAGTGGTACGGACTTAACCAAGGTCAAAGCGACAAATGCCCCGAAGCCCAGGTTTTTAAAACTTAAACAGGGCAGCCCCAGTGAGCAACCAACTTAATACATTGCAGCAACCTAAACCTAGCATACAATGCGAAAGCTGCTCAACCCCTAACCTCAGCTAAAGTAGAGTGGGTAAACTGGAGAACGAGCAGAGAACAAGTCTCACAAGACTCCAAGTCAAAGGTGTCATCGACCCAACAGGCAGCATGGCTGAGGCAAAACAGGTAATAATCACCTTGAGACAAGGGCAATAAACAAACTTCAAACTCACACAAGGCGAGATGGGACTCTTGGGGGGGGGGGGGACATCCATTGGTCAACCAAGCCCCGACAGGGGTTTCCAGGGCCAGTAGGGGATGTGTCCCTACAGGAAGCCCAGGCACTGGTACTGCCAAAGATGGTTCAAACCCCATTTTTTGACTGGGCAAACTGGCCCCAGTGAGGTGAGCAACCTGGGCTAAGCGGAGGACTGACTCACAGAACCAAGGCGTAAATAATAGGAAGCCTGGCAGGAAAGAATACTAAAAGAATGAAAAAGAACCCAGAGGAAGCTCCATAACAACAAGAGGCCAGAGAGGGGCACAGTTGCTGCTGTTATGCAAGCTGGGCAGCCCAGTGCGCCCCAACCAACAACTACTCCCTACCCAGGGCCAAATGAAAGCACCGAGACCCAAGATGATTCCAAGGGTGAGGCAGAAGCCAAGCGACCGCTACCTCTATGGGAGTGGGGAACCCGAAAGCCCCAGGGAAGGTAACCCTGAGACCCAAGGGGTATACTTACAGGGTATTTAGGGAAAAGAACCCTAAGTGCATGCAGCACTGAGTACTTGACTCCTGGCCACCGCTCCAACACACAGCAGGCACCATCGCTCGGTTGAATATCCTGTTAGGCAACTGACACCAGAGTAGACACCTGCCCCAGCCGACTTCAGACGATGAACAAGCAGTCTGGTGGCCAGCTCAGTGGGGCAGGAACGGGGTCAGCACAAACGAGCAGTGCACGGTGTGATGACGTGTTGCTTGTTATCTTGTTTTCCTTGGGAGGAGTTCATAGCCTCTGTTCAGTCTCAGGTTGCAATATTTCTACCAGGAGGGGTCTGTTTTGGGGCGCCTACCTTTTTGGGCGCCCAACCCCGGTCAATGGCAGACATGAAAATACCCTCATACAAGGCAGTTTCATAGGCCATTGCTCCCTGCACCACTGAGATCAGGTTCTGACATGTGGTCCCCGGTAGGTACGAGCTCCATATGACTGAAGCCCCAGACTAAGACTAAGAGCTAATATCAGTCCGATAGCTCCAGGGAGCCAACGGGGCTCCCCCACAGAAAAATTGGATTTCTTTGAAGGATAACACTAAAACTGAGAATATAGAGCAAATTACAAAGTGATGTAATAATTTAACTGTAACACATGTTAAACTATTACATCACTTCTGATCATAGTATTTTTGCCTGGATCTCTAACCAAACGGCATTTTCATTTAACATTATCTGTATTTTGTTACAATTATCATTTTGAAAAATCGATACTCGGTAAAAGTAAATGAAAATGAAGAAAGTATGATATTTTCCTAGAACAAGATCCACCAATCATTTTACAACCAGGTTCTTAATTACTGTTGGGTGCATAGAGGCAGTGAAAGAACACTGCCCAAAAGGCAAAACTTAACCACTTAACTGCGCCAACCAAGTTTCCTCGGTCTGCGAGAAACTGCGCCAACCGAGATAATTATTTTTGATTTTTCGGTACAAATTCTAAATGTGTACGAGGTTGGTTGTGTACGGAAGGGACTCTTAGGACCTCCAGTGAGAGGCAGCCATCTTGGAAAAAATTCCCAGAATGCCCTAGGGCTGCTGGCTGGGTTAGTACTGAATGAGCAACCATGGGTGGCGCACGTGCCTCTGGCTCCCAAACACCTGTCCGACGTGGTGTTGAAAGATATCACTCTGTCGGTGAAATTCAAACCTTATTGTTTGAAGAACATATTGGTGAAGCTAGGCACAATAAGGACCTAATAAAAAGGTCAGATGCAAGTGATACAGCATCTATGAGGACGATACAGCGAGCATATCTCAGTTGTAGCTCTGAGCAATCCTATGCTATCTCCAATTTATTTAGATGATACATAGATGAATCGTTTTCTGCGTTCAGTGATGATGCATCTGATACAAGTAGCAGATGAACAGTAATAGCGGCTTCCATGGTGGTGTTTTTCATAGATATTTTAAAAAATACCTGAATCTCTTCCTCACTGACGGACACACTTTGAGGCTAGCTGAATCTCTATCTGACTGACGGACACTCTTTGAGGCAAGCTGAACCTCTTCCTGTGTGGGACCATACAAAGCGATCTTTTCAGGACTACCTTACAAATTGATATTTTCCTATAATCTTTTCAATACTACCTTATGCTTTACAAGCTTGGCTACATACGACCTACAAGTACTAAAGCGTGTGCTGTAAAGGGTGTACGTAAGTGTGTTATTTGCAAGCACACAGAATGAAGAAACAGGAAGAGAAAATTTATCTAGACGTGGTGCACTGAGAACGAAGTCACGCTGTGTACCATGGACTACTTCGTTGATTATTACTCACTTCCGAAGTACTGAGTGTGTAATACAGTGTGTTACTGTGTAAATAGTGTGTGAAACTGTATATATTGTAATTTTAGTGAATTTTTAACAGGCAATATTGCGACAAACATTTATTGTGGACACATTACTGACACATGTATCACAGTTCCATAGAACATTATGAACGTTCTACTGTATACATATTGTAAAGGACACAAATATGCATCATATACGATAAAAAAACAAATAAAACCGCATTGGAAATACATAAAACAAATAATTGAAAATATATTTGTGGCAACACCCAGTGCTTGAATGACTTGCGCGACCGTGTTTGGGCGATTCACGCACGGGCGACCAGGCCCTAATGACGTCACAGCGCACCTTGTCCTCGTCCCCACAGCCGAAGTAAGTGGAATTTGGTATTTATTTTTACATAGACATGTTCAGGGAAGGGAATTTATCATTTTACGAAGAAAAAAGAATTTTTTGGGAACACTATTTCATGCATACCGGGAGAATTTCACAATAAACTCGGCGCAGCACGGTGGTTAACTAAAAGATAACATAACAAAGAACATTAAGTGTAACAAAGGGATAAAGAACATCTACTTTACTGTACCTGAGTTTGGGCTGCTAAGACTTCTGCTTTCCTCTCTTCCTCCAAGAGAGAATTGTGTAATGCAATCCAATCATGGAGGGACAATTTAGGTCTTTTTGCTGACATTTTTCTAACTTAATTCAATGGGAAGCTTCACAATACTGTACTATAATCTGAAAAAGTCAGTCATGTTAATTATAAATGCAACATATATAATGAGATTATTTAAGCAAATTTCAAAATATTAAATACAGAACCATACAATACAGTACTATTAACTGAAATTGTCAGCAGAATTATTCTCAGATCTAATATTATTATGGGACCTGTAGCACAGCAGACTATACCCTCAGCTCACAACCAAGGGAACTGAATTCAATCCCCAAACAGAACAAACAGTTGGGCATATTTTCTTTCACCTGATGCATCTGTTCACCTAGTAGTGAAATAGGTCCCCAGAAGTTAAGCAACTGTTGTGGGTTACATCCTGGGGAAGGGGAGTAGCTGGCCTATGAGGACTTAGATAAGCCTAAGTACAGCCGTCCTGTCCCAGATAATGGGAATTAAGCATGGTATTTTAATGTGAACAATGCAAGAACATATTATTTTGCCACAAATGTCTAAATAGTTCATCCATAATGGTATTACATTACCTAAAATTCTAGCCGAATATCCTACCGTTACCTACTGAAATAGTTAATAACCACTGCAACTTTTATAGCTGAAAGAATACTGTACTCTTTGAAGGCAGATTCTTTGGCTTACTCATCAGCTCTAACATGCATTCGGAGGCCAAAATGAGATGGAGTCCACATGAAATGGACTGTTACCATCATCATTAGTTCCCAATTTGAACATCTTTACCATTGTGATCATTGCTGTTTTCTTATATGTGCTGCCAATCTGTTGTATGGTGTTTATAAATCTTGTTTATCTGTATCTTTTGCTACCCAGTCTCCCAATCTTTATGTACCCAATCTGAACATCTTTACCATTGTGATCATTGCTGTCTTATATGTGCTGTCAATCTGCTGTATGGTGTCTATTAACCTTGTTTAAATTACTAATCAAGCTGTCAATGTAATCAATCAGAGCTTTAATATAACAATATGCTTTAATATACCTACTTATCTCTCTCATCTCATTTTTCTCTTGTAATGTATCTTTAAAATTTATCAATTCTGATTGAAATTACCTACTTAAAATTATCTGCTAGATTAAGGACCTGCCCGAAACGCTGTGCGTACTAGTGGCTTTACAAGAATGTAAATACTGTACTATCCAATGTATTCTCACAAACCCAATGTACCTTCTTGTATATATATATATATATAAATAAATAAATAAATAAATAATAATTTTGTTGTATTTGTCTAGCTTCAGACACAAGTATGTTAGAGTTATGTCTTAAAGAGTTGAGAGAAATTAAGGACAATAAAGAGTCACTTACAATTAATGTATCAAGTTTGGAGACTTGTACACATTTCAGTTCAAGAAGCAAGGCAAATAGATGGTAGAGGCCCAGTTATTTATACGGACTCCCCACTCAAAATATAAGCCATCACCCATTGTCAGGACAACTGCACTTCCAGCTGCACCCATGGTGCGGTGTAGGGAACCATCAGTGTATATGATTTGAAAGAGAGAATGCTCTGTGGACAGAGCATCAATATGACTTAAGGCGTTGAGCTTTGCTTCAAGACGAAGCTTGGGTTGATCTCTGATGGTTGATTTGATTCTTGGGTGGAAAGAGTGGGATTAAAATGGGAAATTGGACAAATTAAGAAACTTGGCAGTCTTTATTCAACTAGTCATCTGCTCCAAACGAGCAGGTGTATTTTTTCTATTTCATATATTTATTTTTGTCTATAAAAACAAGGGAGCAAAAAAAACATATGTGAAAGACTGACATAATAAGCCAGATATATATTTATATTAGTGTATGATGGGATGCCTTTTTAGCGTGTTCAGTGTGCGGTGGAAAAGGATGAAAATCTGTAACAGAATAGCCCCCAACCCCAGGCTCAGGACCCATACGTATTGGCTTTGCCAGAATGTACAACTTACACAAAATACTACAAAACCTATTGTACTTTCCTAAAAATACTTAAACAAACATGAACAAAAATATATGTTGCGTACAGTTTGGTGGCTCACGTCCTGGCCGTGGGAGCCTGGCAGCAGTGGTGGTGGGAGGTGTTGTGGTGTGAGCCGCTCGCTTACACTCCCAGGCGCTCAGCTCAGTCCAGCTGCTGCACCTCCCGCTGGGGGTATGGTCGTTTCCCACACGAGACGAATCTTTTCGCACTCCATCACATAGTGACGGAGGGTGTGCGAATAATTTTGTTGACAGTTTACATTTGGTCAGGTCTACACGTTCAGTCCCTGAGCCCATTATGTGCCTCTGTAACCCTTTCCACTACCGCCACTAGATGGGTATGGGGTGCATAATAAATGAACTAAACTAACTCACGAGACGATTCAACGTTGATAGTTTTCTAAATAATCAATAAATAATGGTTTATTCAGGTGAAAGCACGGGTTAATTAGAGTTAATTAGTGATCACCATGCCATACTTAGCACATACACAATCAAAGATGTTAAATCACAACATTATGAAAGGACAACAGTTAACATCCTTGACAATCTACACATGCACTTCAAACGCAAAATATACGATTGGTATCAGTTATATGAATTTACCAATGTCAATGCCCTATATGAGGACCTTGTTCATGTAGTAACACAGTACTATGTCAAATGAGTGAAACCTAAGGGGACCTAGAGCTAAGAACAGAGGAGAGCAGTGGTTCTGTGACTCGCCTGAAGTCCATGCATGATCATGTACTACATGTTGCTGAGCTCACAAAATAACTGAGTCGCACAATGTATTTATTTCTTCAAGCTAACCGCGCATTCGTGGAAATGAAAGAACGTGTACGTGGTCAATTTTGGGAACAGTTCTTACAGGGCATCAATCATGCAACATTCTCAGCCCAAATGTGGGTCAAAATTAGAAAAATCTCCAACATACCCCGCAAACTAAACCCATACCCTCCAACCCAGACAGCCTGGGTGGTTGGCTGTCTGGATATTGCAGACAGATTTCAGTTGTATATTGGCTTGGGGACCATTCTAGCTTGTTCGCATTTGTGTTGTTCACATGGTCCCACAAAGTGAGGTGATTCGATTAAATATCTATGCCCAAGCTTACCACCAAGTGCTGCCGGGTCATTGGAAGATATAGCCTCGCCTACCAATGACTTTTGTACAGTCACAGTGGTTAAGGAACCAGGTACGCCATGGTGCATAGTGCACCAGGGTTCGATTCCTTCTGGGGTGTGGAGTTTTCAGTTGTATATTGGCTTGGGGACCATTCAAGCTTGTTCGCATTTGTGTTGCTCACGTGGCCCACAAAGTGAGGTGATTCGACGAAATATCTATGCCCAAGCTTACCACCAAGTGCTGTTGGGTCTATGGGGATATATCCTCGGCTTCCAATGACTTTTGTAGTTATTTATGGTAGTCGAGTGGTTAAGGAACCAGGTACACCATGGTGCATATAGTGCTCCTGGCTGTCTGGGTTCGAATCCTTCTGGGGTGTGGAGTTTTCAGTTGCATATTGGGTTGGGGACCATTCAAGCTTGTTCGCATTTGTGTTGCTCACGTGGCCCCACAAAATGAGGTTATTCGATGAAATATCTATGCCCAAGCTTACCACTAAGTGCTGTCGGGTCACCTTTTTTTTTTTGAGATATATACAAGAGTTGTTACATTCTTGTACAGCCACTAGTATGCGTAGCGTTTCGGGCAGGTCCCTGGAATACGATCCCCGCCGCGAAGAATCGTTTTTTCATCCAAGTACACATTTTACTGTTACGTTAAACAGAGGCTACAGTTAAGGAATTGCGCCCAGTAAATCCTCCCCGGCCAGGATACGAACCCATGACATAGTCCTGACATTCTTCTGTCCTCCATGGACAGTGTTAGAGATTTGTTAAGCATATAGTTCAGGCGTTTATTGAACAACCACAGAAGGTGGCATACAATAATGGCTTGTACATGTTCACTCCCACACACCCATCTTGAGGTTATCTTGAGATGATTTCGGGGCTTAGCGTCCCCGCGGCACGGTCCTCTACCAGGCCTCCTTTTTTGCTACACCCCCCGCGGAAAGCAGCCAGTAGCAGCTGCCTAACTCCCAGGTACCTATTCACTGCTAGGTAACAATCAGAAGCACTGGAATCAATGCCGATGTTCGACGATGGACTCGCTCATGTCTCCAATGCCAGCGAGCGAAAACACATCGTCACACAAAGAGCCCTCTTCAACAGTTTCCGTTACCTTCTGACCGTTTCGAGGTGGTGCATGTAGACATCGTTGGACCATTACCGTCGGCAAGAGGATATTCTTATCTACTCACCTGCATCGATCGATTCTCCAGATGGCCGGAAGCAATCCCATTAATCAACATCTCAGCTGAGTCAGTGGTCCAGGCTTTCCTCTCTGGATGGGTCGCCCGTTTTGGCAGCCCCTCTGTCATCATCACCGACCAAGGACGACAGTTCGAATCATATCTATGGAAGGAACTTATGGAATTCCTCGGCACCACACATAACCGAACCACAGCATACCACCCTGAGTCGAACGGAATGGTAGAACGCTTTCATAGACAACTAAAAGCTGCCCTAAGAGCCCTGATGATTGGATCGACAACCTTCCATTAGTCTTGCTTGGCATCCGTTCGGCCACGAAGGAGGGCAGTGGATTCTCGGCAGCAGACTTAGTATACGGATCTAGCCTGCGGCTTCCGGGCGAATTCTTAACCCCAACGCCACTTATCACACCCCCAGACCCCACTTTTGTCCAGAAATTACGGGCGGCCATGACAAGCATTCGGCCTACACCACCACGCCAACCGACAACTCGTGCTACATATGTGCCTCATGAGCTCCACACAACTGAACACGTGTTTGTAAGAGTCGACGCTGTTCGACGCCCTCTACAGTCACCTTACGAAGGACCATTTAAAGTGGTTTCTCGAACACCGAAGTTCTTCACCATTGAACGCCGAGGACAGCGGGTAAACATCTCCATCGATCGCCTTAAACCAGCACACTGTGACGCTGCCCCAGACATCCCTCCAGAGACACATCCGCCGACTACGCAGTTCACTTTTCGACCACAGTTACCAGCAGCACCGCCACCTACGACAACGGACGATCCTGTACGACCTCCCATGTTACAACCCCAGTTACCAGCTGCACCACAACCTGATCCTACGACGACGGACGATCCTGTGCGACCTCCCACCCTACGATCCCAGTTAGATGACATCAGCGAAGAGGAGGAAGTTAACTTTGATGGTTATGTAACGCGAGCAGGGCGTACAATTCACCGACCAGCTAAGTTCCTTGATCAAGTATTTTTCCTTTCATCCCCTGGGAGGGGGAGTTCTGTAGCGAGTAGATTATCCCAATAATATACTCGCTCCAAATATAGTGTTAATATTCCTGTCAACCTTTGGAGATGAATGAGGTGAGGTGTTGCCCGAGCAATATAAGCAGCAAGAATAGCAAACATTAACTAGTCTACTTTCAAGTGTGGTCTATAGCAGACACTTGCGAGATACTGTACCAACGCTCAGTGCGCTCAACTCACACCAACGTATCACCTGTGTACTTCTGTATATTCGACCAAATATATATATAGTATCTTAGTGTCTGTGTTTATTTGTCACCATACTTTACGTAACAATAGAACCGTTACAGGGGCATCAGGGTTATCTTATCTTGAGGTTATCTTGAGATGATTTCGGGGCTTTAGTGTCCCCGCGGCCCGGTCCTCGACCAGGCCTCCACCCCCAGGAAGAAGCCCGTGACAGCTGACTAAATCCCAGGTACTTATTTACTGCTAGGTAACAGGGGCATTCAGGGTGAAAGAAACTTTGCCCATTTGTTTCTGCCTCGTGCGGGAATCGAACCCGCGCCACAGAATTACGAGTCCTGCGCGCTATCCACCAGGCTACGAGGCCCCGGGGAAGAGGAGGGTGAATGAAACATTTTGCCCATTTGTCTCCGCCTCCACCAGGGATCGAACCCGGAACCTTAGGACTACAAATCCGAAGCGCTGTCCACCCAGCTGTCAGGCGCCCTTGCTCACACCCACACAAACCCGTGTTCACACCCACACACCCGTGTTCACACCCACACAAACCCATGTTCACACCCACACAAACCCGTGTTCACACCCACACACCCGTGTTCACACCCACACACCCATGCTCACACCACACACACCCATGCTCATACCCACACACACCCATGCTCACACCCACACACACACACACATCAAGGCGATGTACACTAACATAGATGGGATTACAAATAAAACAAGTGAACTCGGAGAATGGGCACTAGAACAAAACCCAGACATAATAGCACTCACAGAAACAAAGCTAACAAAAATCATAACAAACGCAGTGTTTCCACAGGGCTACTATATAGGGCTACAGTATTATTCATGGTATAGTTTGGTTATATTAAGACCGTATTATTCATGGTAGAGTTTGTTTATTAAGACAGTATTAATTGTGGTATAGTTTGGAAGAATTCAAACAATATTAATCTCAAAAGTGAAAAGCAAAATTAATTGCGTATCCCACTAGAAATGGACACTACTTTAACACTGCAACAGTATTATTAAGTAAATACCGGACATAACTGAAGCTGGACTATGTAACAAATTAATTTTAGAAAACTTAAATAAATAATATAAATAATATAGCGAGGCCAAAAACAGCAAGAAAGGCATGAGGCTTAAGCAATGCTAGAAAACAGAGAATAAATAGCGGAGTAAATACAAGACAAACTGAAACTGAACAAGTAAATAGATTAAGACTGTATTACAATATACTTGTATTTAAGCTGAACAAATAAAAGAGTAAACAGTGATAATCATGGATAGTTTGGGTAGATTAAAGCAGGATTATACAAGGTATAGGATAGTTAGGTTAAACAGTAATATATGCATAATATATAGTTGTGATAGATTAAAACTGTAATGTTCATGGGATAGATTGGTTATATTAAAACAGTACTATTCATGGAATAGTTTGGCTAGATTAAAACAATATTCTCAAAAGTGAAAACAAAATTATTTGAATATCCCACAGCAATGGACATTGCTTTAACGCTGCAACAGGATTAGTAATAGGAAAAATAAAGTAAGTAAATACAAGGCATAACTGAAAGCTGAACAAT